TTATTATTATTATTGGCAGTATTATTGTAACGGGGAGACTGACACGGAGGGATCCATTTTGCAGTATTTATTAGACACAGTTCAAACACAAACGTCCAACACGCACTAAAGTGCGAACACACATCAACAGCACTCAATAAAGATCGTGGGGCTGGCGGCTGACACAGAGTGATTTACCAGGCATAGATCAGTGGCAGGCGGCATGGTTCAGAGTCCTTATGACAGGCGTGGGTCGAAGGGCAGGCAGCGTGGTTTAGAGTCCGTGTAACAAGCGAGGGTCGAGGGCAGGCAGAAGGCAACTCAGGGTAAGAAACAGTCCGGGGTAATGCACAGGAGATCAGGCAGGAAAGAACGCTTAGTAATGCTGGCCGGGGCTAAACAAGACTTCACCCTGAACAGTGGTTTGAGTGTGGCTTATATAGGTGGCGTGGGTCATTACCGGGATTCAAATCAGGTGTGAGCACAATCAGTCTGTGAGGATGATGTAATGCTAGAAGTCCGGAGATGGCGGCCTCTGCTGGCCAGCGAGGGGAATGACTGGGACCGAGTCGGTGACAATTATTAATTATATGCATATTTATATTTGTTTTATTAAAACAAGCTTAGATTTGTTCACCTGTCAGGTTGTAGACCATATGGGGCACAGTATGTGTATTAGGATTTAACTCAGGTTTTTAACCACACTTCATTATTATTGTTCATTTATTCGTTTGCTGGAAATTAGAATAAATCTTTGTGCTTAACAAATAAAATGAATTATGTAGGCTAATGGATGTCTGTGCGTACAAAGTTTCCCTATCCACGAAAGTGAAAATAAATAATGAGAAGGCTCATCGCTCATTCTCGTCCTGTAGATGCTCTGTTTAACTGTTTTCTTACTATTGAACCGCTCAGTTTTTCCACCTACAAAGTCCGCCATGTAAATAGCAAATACGCTATGGTGCGACGTAACTGACTCTTAAAGGGAATGGGAGATGAGACTCTGATTGGTTTATTTTCAAAACACACCTATGGGGTGTGACTAGGGATGGGTATTATTTTTAATACATGTATTTAAAATGCTTATTTTTAAATACAAAATAGTATTCAGTAATTTGTCTTTGGGGTTGATAAAAATGGGTTTATGTTTTGTATCAAAATACTTCAGTGTCTTGTATTTTTGTATTGTAAAATACTTTGTAAGAAGTATGATGATGACATAATAAAAACAGGGCTTTAGATTGGTGCTTGCTCAGTTATTTGCCTAGCCTTGAGATCTGAACAGAAATTGATTAAAAAGGTGGTTAATGCTTGAAGTATGGATGGAAATTATGCAACACAAGTAAAGGGTTCAATTTTAATGATCTAGGTGCAGAGTCTAAATTGCATGGCGCAAAAGCATTAAGGGCGTGTCAGAATCCACTTTTGCTATTTTAAGAATGGAAACATTTGGTTTGCACCACGGCGCATGGTCTTACAGGTTTGTGCTTATTCTCTTGTTTCTCAAAATAGCAACGCTCCAACAATGCGCCTTAACACACCTCCTTTGTAGACCAGCACACTCATGAGTCCTTCCAGTGGCACAAATTGATTTACTATTTAAACTACGTGGCACAAAACAGAAAAATTAAGGTTGCACTAGTCTGAAAATAGCAACACATCGCGGCAAACACATCTTGCGTCTTATTGTGCCGGGTGTATGATAGGGCCCAAACAAAATAACTGACAAATGTCATGGGTAGATCTGGGAATAACTCATTAAAGCAATCATTAAAAATAGTATACTGCACAGTGCTAAGACCAGTCATATGTACTGGCAGTTTTTAGTAATTTGGGAGTAGCATCTTTGCTTAGGGAATGAGATGGACTTAAATATCAGTCCTTAAGAACAGAATGTGGAGCCTTCAGCACATAATCATTCTCAGTCTCAGTGCTGCAGGTGGAAATGCAGAGGAACTTTAGAAATATAAAACAACTAAAAACTGTGTACTGGTGTTCACTAAGAGGGTAAACGGACTCTTCCAGTTAAAGAAGAACTGAAATTATCTTGGAATAATGAGTATACTGTACAAATAATTGTAGTTTTAGATGGATGCCAAGATGCCAAGAAAATAAGACAAACAACACACAAATAAGTCTTACAGTGGCAATTCTTACGATAGACAGTTTCAAATGCCAGTAGATGATCTGCAGATACAGTATACAGTTAAAGAAGAGATGTCAAAATGGCACAATACAGTTCATGAGACACAAATATCTAATAATACTCCAGTCTATACGGCAGCAGCAGGATATATATATGAGCAGTTTATTTGCCAAAAGTGATAAAAAAAACGTTTTTTTGAGATTTCATGTTTCATGTTTATCATGTTGTGTGTTAAAGAGTATTGCAAAAAATATGATTTATGGAAATCTCTAATACTAGAGATTTGAGTAGTTTTCAGACATGTTCTACATTAGGTTTTGACGATTTCAATTGCAAACAAATCTACATTTATTGAACAAAAATAAATAATATAGCATCTTCATATACAGTATCACCCTTTAAAGTATAAGACTGTTAAGAGATGGTTGGAGTTTTATTGGCCACACAATGGATGGAAACACATTAAAGATATATAGTACTCTATTCCAACTCATTATCTGCATTGCATGGTTTTCACAGTGATTAAAGATAACATCTTCCAGACAGGACTTTCTGTATGAAATCTGTACAAAATGTATGCTAAAATGAAAGAGAAAGTCAGTTTAATGGTGAAGGGATTGATAGAATATGCCTATTAATAGAATGTTTGCGAAGAAATGTGATGCTTCCTTGTAAAAGTATTTTGTAGTATTTTCAAAATACAGTATTTTATTTTGATACACTTATGGCTGCTGTATTTTGTAGTTTATTTTGTTGCATGTAAAATGGAGGTATTTTGTATTTTATTATAGTGGGTTAGGACTGGTTAGGAATCCCCCCTTCCACCCTTACTTCTCCACCTTACCCTTCATAGGGGGCAAGGTGGCCCAGTGGTTAGCACTGTTGCTTCACAGCAAAAACGTCACCGGTTCTAGTCAGTCATGACTGTGTTTGTCCACCAGATGCCACTGTAGTTCGCCAGCAACCACCAGTGGACTGCAGTGGCTTTAGAACTACATTTCCATACATTCTTTCGCACACACACCCGGTCTGTCATCTACACTGATTTACAACCACAGCTGTCTCCGTTCTCCGTTGATTACCTGGACTATATATTCAGTCATTCATTCTCTGTTTGTCAGTTGGTCGTTGTCGTCTTTGGTATGTTGTTCCTGATCCTTGCTCTTGTATCTTGTTATAGTCTAGTTCGAGTTTAATCTGTCTTAGTTTCTTGTTTTGTTTGTTTGTTTGTTTGTTTGTTTGTTTGTTTGTTTGCTATTTTGTAGTGATGGTGAAATGAAGCTTTCTGAACCAGTGAAGCGCTCGACTCAATTGTATCGGGAAAAAGGTTCGTTACTCGAAGCTTTCTAAATCAGAGCTCGATGAGGACCTCTTCTGGTGAAAGTGTGGGAAAGCACTGTGTTGCCATAATGTCAAATGTTCATAACTGACCAACTCATTCATGTAGTAATACAACAACAGCAATATAAACAAATTACTCAATTACTGTAGTTTTTACACAAGATATATTACATTACACAAGTGATGACTGTGGTAAAATCCAAGGTATTCAAAAGTTTATCATAATACAATTAGCCCTGCTCCAAGCGGGGATCAAACCAGCGATTCCTGTGTGGGAGGCGAGTGCTCTAGAAGGATGGCATGTGATTGATACTATAAGGATGCGCTCGCCAGATGGTCTCTGTTAAAGACAATACTACGATATGCGGTGGTTTTCTTTAAAGATAGTTGTAAAAAAAAAAATGCTAATAAAATTTAGTATGGTTCAAAACCTTTTTACTAAAAATTACTATTGTATTTTAGTTTAATTACTGGTGTGTGGGACTGGTGCAGTGCTTTGAAACAGTACAAATGTATGTAATCGACGCCTAATCTCTCGCTATACACTTTACTATAAGGGTGTTTAAACCTTTGAATCAAAATTTGAAGCAGTCACGTGGGTATAGGCGAAAATGAAGCTTCGAACGTCACTGATCACGTGATGATGGCAAAACGAATCAAGCTCCGGTACACTGCTTCACTGCGAGATGTATCGTTTTTTTGATACATGTTTTGAAGCCTCGGCGCACAACGTCACATCACTACTATTTTGTTACTTTGTACTTTGGATTTTTGTATTTTTGTCACTTTCACTGCACTATACATCAATTAAACTGCACTTGGATTCTACACCTGTTTTTTGTTCCTGTTTTGATCCCATAACATGACATAGTCCTTTAACAGACCGGCGGTCGTTTCTGTGCGTAGTTTGCATGTTTTTCCCGTGCTCGCGTGGGTTTTCCCCGGGTTCTCCGGTTTCCTTCCACATTCCAAAAAGATGCACTTCAAGTGAATTGATCAATCTAAGTTTAGCACTCATCATGCAGCATATCTCTTCATAGCATTCATTTTAGTCATCAGCTCTTATCAAGGGGGGAGTTGTCGAGATCTACCTGAGCTCAAAGTTCCCCTCTTGCCCTGCAAACTGAAAGGAGCCTAGGGCTCAAGGACCTTTTGGCCTCAGGGCTGTCTCCCGGGACAGCATACCAAACTTTCTTATAATCAATCATCAGCTAAGTGTGAACTCTTGAAAAGACATTTCAGTGTGTTTTTGCCCATCCCTGTGAATGACATTTGCAATCTCCGAAGTAAAGAGTGGGGGGTGGGGAATCTCTGGGCCACCCCACAACCCATCGTTGGGCGCCTAAACTGCCAGGGCCCTATGCATTCTGTCATCCTTTTCCCCCCACTTACAACGCCCCTGCTTATGGGGACTTTTGGTCCCCACAGTGTGATGAATACCAAGACCACACACGCATTATAAAAAAGCCACCTCAACACTTGGTTAGAGGTGTAACTGTTGTCTGACTGTGTGTGACGGGCATTTCTGATCATCTCACACCGTTGACAAAACAAGGACAGAATCATACAACTAGAGCAACGATTTTCTCAGGTAAGAAAACGGTCAATATAACACTTCTGTCATTAAAAGTTTAAATATTTCTTTATAAAGTTCTGCTATCCCACCAGGAAATTATGTGTTTAACAGACATCTAGTAGACATCTAAGCTTAGACGTCTTGGCTATACTCAAAAAATGACTTTTGCTGTTTGTTCAAACTAAAATGAGTTAAAAAAAAACGGGTTTTACTAACAACTTAATTGTTTTAAATGCTGTCCACTTAAGTTAACTTAATCAATTTGTGTTGGGTCAACATGTAGGAATTGTGTGGAAGGCTGGAAGCCAGCATTTTCTTACAGTGGCTTTCTTAAAGGGGCAAAATTTGAGAATCTAATAGACATCTAAGATTAGTTCAAAACTAGACTAATCATCAAATAAACAGGAATGATTGACTATGCATGCGAGGTCTGTCTAATCTGTGTATTTGATGACTGGTCTACATTAGGACTATTGTTAAACATCTATTAGATGTTTACTGACAGATCAAATTTAACTCGTTTATTTTAGCCAAGATGTCTATGTTTATGGCACGGTGGCTCAATGGTTAGCACTATCGCCTCACAGCATGAAGATCACTGTTTAATATCCTGGTTGGGCCAGTTGGCATTCTGTGTGGAGTTTGCATGTTCTCTCCGTGTTGGCGTGGGTTTCCTCCGGGTGCTCCGGTGTCACCCACAGTCCAAACACATGCGCTATATGTGCTAAATTGGCCGTAGTGTATGTAGTGTGTGTGAATGCAAGAGTGTATGGGTGTTTCCCAGAACTGGGTTGTGGCTGGAAGGGGAACCAATGTGTAAAACATGTGCTGGATCAGGGCCGGAGTGGGACTCCTTTTCAGCCCTGGAGTTTCAAGCCTTACACTGGCCCACCTCAGTTCACGACTGACTATATTATAATGAGGTCATTTCCAATTCAGTTTCTAATGACACTATCACGTCTTTTTCAAGGACACAGCTGCTTTAGAACTTCAAATGTTTTTCATAAATATGAGAACATTGAAGGGTAGCTATATCTCCAACACTATTCTTTAAAACATCACGATGTTCTTTCCTGCAATATCTGAATATATATTCTGTGCAAAATTCTTTATAGACATCCAGTCTTTTGTAATGGTGGTCACACAAAACATAAAAATAAAATATGTACATCTATAAAAGCAACCCAAACAGTATTATACTGTATGTCTGTATACTGTTTTAAGTGTATGTAACGCTAAAAAAATAAATAAATAAAATAAATAATAATAATAATTTACTCAGGGGAGGTTCGAACTTGAGTCGGCACAACGTAACACAACGTGCTGACCACAGGACCACACTGGCGCTGTTAGGCTGATGCATTTGGAAGAAAGATCTGCAAGACTCTTTCAACCACAGTTTTACTTTATATTAGTGGCTTAATTTTTTTCTCCTCTTTTTAGGGGAGTAAAATGATTTTCATTAAGCAGGTGTAATATTCATTTATATTAATTGTTCGACTTTTTATATTCACTAAGGTGCCACTGTTTGGGGTCGAATGATAGTTACATCCTCATTAACCTACAGGCTTAATGACGATTTTGCTCATGGGGCTGCGAGGAAATGAATAAAAAGAGCTGAGCTGCGGCAAAATAATTAAAAAAAGAGCGAGGCTATGATCAAATAAATAAATAAATAAATGAAAAAAGTGCGACTGCTGAGAGTGCAAGCAGCTACGGACACCGGCCCTCACGGCCAAAAAACAGACCGGCCCACCGGGAATTCTCCCGGTCCTCCCAATTAGACAATCCGGGCCTGGCTGGAATAGTTGGCGGCTCAGGCGACCCCTGATAAATAAGTGACTAAGCCAAAGGAAAACGAATGAATGAATGTCTATGTTTATACATCTATTAGACATCTATTAGACATCTACTAAAAGTCAAACAAATACAATTCTTGCCGGGATGTGTTCCTGTTGTCTTTCTAATGTTTCATGGTCTATATGTTACTAAATCTAGATGATCTGAGGAGTTCAGACTGAATCAAGATGCTGGTGATCATTGAAGCTCTTCTCCTCATCTTAGCAGCTCTAGAACAGGTGAGCTTGTGTTTTAGGATGAATGTTAAGAACATATTTACTGATCTAGTGATTTTTACGATTGCTGTTTCTGCAGGATCACACAGCCGCTGCTGTAGATCGGATAATTTCATTGGATATGGCACCAAATTCTGTCGATGACCAATATAAAGGCTGTAGAGACAAAATGGCAAATCTGGTAAAGACCGAATATCTGAAGAAGGAAATGAGCAACTCGGAAAAATTCAGAAGAGCTTGGAAAAAAGGGGAAGATTTTGTCAAGGACCAAGTTGATAGTTTGACGAGAAATAATTTAATTGCAATTTATGTGTACAGCGATGCTAGTGTATATGATGATTTCAATTCTAACACTCGCAGTGATAAAATCGAGTACAAAAAAAAGAAATACAAGTGGTATTCATTTCACTTTCTGTTGACTGAAGCGGTTCAGGTTTTGAAGAAAACACAAAAGAAATGCTTTTCAACTTTTCGTGGAACTAAAATTGAGTTTAACAAAAATGTGTTGAACAAAAAGGTTCGTTTTGGCTCGTTTGTGTCATCGTCTCTCGATCGTAAAATAGCGTCATATTTCGGAAACAAATCATGCTTTGAAATCAAAACTTGTAAAGGTGCAGAGGTCACGAAATATTCCAAACTTCCGCATGAGAAAGAGGTGTTGATTCCTCCGTATGAAGTTTTTAAAGTCACTGCTGTCAGCATCAGAAAAAATACAAATAAAAAAAACCTTTGGTGCGACACTGTGTTCACTTTAAAATCCTCTGGGGAAAAAAGTGACCTGGACTGTGCTCTGTTTATGAAATCAAACAAGACTGTAGCTAAATACAATGTCATACATTGAATTTCAATGTAAATCAATGGGGTGTGCATAGTTAGTGTTTTTCAGTCACCAATAAACTTCTGGTGAAAGGTTTATGTGACTATTTTCAATTTCATAAGGCTTCTTTTAGAGCATTGATGATGTTATTTAATTAAAATACAATCAGTTAAATAAATTTAAGCATTTATTTAGTTGTTCAAGTGCAAAACAAGATGAAAGACCGTTTAAATGCAAAACCCGTCAGGGGGAGTTCAGAAACGAAACTCCATTGGAAATATTGTGGTAAATTTCCATATTTTAAAGATGTGGGTGCCAAACAATGATATTTAATTCAGTGCTTTTAGTCCAGTCTGAGACCAACTTTATATTGTATCCCAATCAGGCAGTGAAGATCATTGATTTTCCACAGAAACCAGATGTCAAATGTGGTGAGTTTATAATGGCTTGACAGTTCACTGGAAGCGCTTGAGCTGGTTTACTGAAAATTAAAAGTCCCTGTGCATATACCCCATTGTTTTTCAGCTCGGTTCAATATTTTTTTGACATAATTTGTTCTCATTATTTCAATATAATAATGTAAAGTACTTTTAAAGTGATCCAACTGAGGGATTTTCATGTTTCTGTTTAATTTCCTCATTTATATCAACAAACCTTGCAATCTAGCTAGCAACAGCGTGTTTTTGTGTTTGGCAAAGTATGTGTGTATGCAAAATTATGATGATCTTTTATGTATTTTCTTTAATGTGTTGATTCAATGCATTTAAAAAATCTCCAGAAATCGTCTTACATGCTTATATATTAGCCCAAGAATATAGCTCTAAAATTAGAAGTTTGGTTTTGACCATATTTGGAATGATTATGAATATTAATGAGCTCTCCTCTGACCTATATGCTTTTATTTTTGAGACTGTAATATTTTCATTTCTTGTGTAAAAGATCTGTGTTTTAGTTGTGTTGAATTTGATTGTTTTTATCGTTTTGCATCATAAGAGCATGACAGTGCAAAGCTGTGTTTTAAAAAGTGACAATATGGTTGGAGTTCAGGAGAAAGAGTGAATTAGATTTAAAGAATTTTGTAAGGTTTGCAGAAAAATTATTTTAAATTAAGAATTTAGGCCATGGAAAATTTGATGTTAGTGCCTCAGCAAAAGTGAAGTAAAGCCTCTGCTATGTTGGGGTTTTTGTGTGTCACTGTGCAGAAGAGTTTGTGGTTTTGTTGTGGAAGAATTTAACACCTTTGATGCTTTGAAATGAGCTGTTAAAACCTGTGCAATGATGCATCTATTCATCTGATGAATGATGATTTGTTTCTGGATTAATAAAGTTTTTTTATAAACAATCTTTTTTTTTTTGTATGAACATTCTTAATAATGTGCAAAATTGATTTTCAGTGTAAGTTGATTGAATAATATATATATTTTTACGTATACTTTTATGTATGGAAATATGTGCATGTTACCGTTATTACTCATCTTAGACAGACAGGTTTTCAACGAAACCACAGACCTTCACAAATGTTCCATTAAGCTTGAAGTGTTAACTGTGCTCTTTGTTGACCTCACAGTGTGCAAAATACTTTCTGAAGCTCAAAATTTGCTTTCCACAAATCTTAAAATTGATATGCGATTTTAAAAGTGCTTTGTGTTAGTTTTTAACTCTTTTAAGGCATACAAATACTGTAATGTGTTTGCAGATATTTAAGAAACATCCAAAGTGAACATTCTTGTTTATTTGAAAAAACAATGCTGAAGTTAGATATTCTGCTTTGAAAATATGCGTTATGTGCCGGACCGACTGTCTTTGTTTTGGTAATTTAAACCCGCTCAATGCCAGTTTAACGAATAATATTTCAGCAACCCGGATTGCTTTAGTGGAAAACAGCGTATTCAATTCATTCAGTCATGAAAGCTCTGAAAGTAGGTGTCCGCGACTGAAATGCAACCTCGAGTGGAAAGTAGCAGCCTTCAAAATGAGACAAGGATTCAGAGTTTCACATGAAGTTATTAATTAACAAATAATATAAATATTATAAAGGCAAACATTAGGTGAGAAGGTTACATTGTGTCCTAACATCATGCTACATGACTAGATTTGCAGAGATAAGCAATTGAGCTGTTTGGACTAGATGAAACTTGACAGAAATTTAAATACAGCTATTCAGAAGCACAGAATAGTGCACTCACTGCACTCCAGCAACATGGTAAGGATTATAATCTAATTTGGACATAATTGACCTCTATTTAACATTATTAAATGTACACGTTGAATCACTGATATGTGTTGGTTTGCACTGAGTCACAGTAGTAAAGTTCAATTTCAAATGCTTTATTTTATTTTCAAGATCTGCTGCTGCTTTCAGTAGTATGGCAATAAATGTGATGTAAAATGGCATTCAATCTCACATTATCAGCATTTAACACTGAATAAAGCACATGAGGTGTACCTGAGATGATCATTGTCAGTTTTTCGTTGCTCAGCTGTAAGAAATATAAGCCGTTTCTAAAATATAAATTTCAGGTGTTTGTTAGAAGAAAAACTCCTTTTAATATGGAAAATATTCCTACTATCGGGTAGCGTTGCTTTTATTAAGAACATGACTTAAATCAGCCTTTAGGCTTGATAGTCAGGCTCACTCCTGTTGATGTCGTCAATCCGGCAACCTGCACTTGCATGTGTTTTGAACCAGGAATGCAATACCTAGTTCAACCACTGGGTGTCAAACTTACACACTGCACCTTTAAAAAAAAAGAGGATAATTGGAGGTAATTTGCTTGTTCTGTGATAATGAAGTACACTGTAAGACTTTACCAGGCTTTTTTTTTTACAGCCTTATACTTTAATTACTATAAACGAATATAACTACTGTAAAAGAACTATTACAGTGACTAACAGTGTAACACTAACAGTGTTGCCAGTTACTGTAACAGAGCAGTAGCAGTAATTACCTGGAAACAGCTTACTGTTAATTACTGTACTGTAGTGCTACAACTCACAACATAATACTCCATACACATTAATGGTATGTCATATACAGTAATTATTGCAGTGTTAATAAAATTAATCATTATTCTTTATTGTTATTAAAAATATAGAAAGTGTATAAATTCTTCAGACAAATGTGTTTTATTGTTTTGGCAGACAAAAATATACGACAGAAAATGTAATGTAAAATGCAAATCCGAAAAAGTTTTGGAAAATTATGGAAAACGCAAATAAAAAAGAAAGTAGTGATTTCTAAATTTACTTTGACTTGTACTTCACTGCAGACAATACAACAAACATTATTTAATGTGTAACTCATAAATTGTATTGTTTTTTTCTGTCTGTCATGGTCAAGAGCCCTTGATGAAGATAACTTGCACTTCTATGAAGGCACCATCATCGCTGAAAAGTGCATCAAGATTTTGAAGCACAATGTGCTGCCTTCTTTTCCAGGGACAACCAAGCATATTTTAACTACACAATGCAAAACCATATTCTGCACACATTACAAAGTCCTGGCTGCGGAAGAAGAGGATACAGGTACTTGACTAGTCTGCCTACAGTCCTGACCTGTGTCCAATAGAGATTATGTGGCACATTTTGAAGCGCAAAAAGCAACAATGAAGACTTTAATGACTTTGAATGACCTTAATACTTATTTTGCAAGAAGAATGGTACAAAATCACACCTGAAACACTTCATCACCTGATGTCTGCAGTCCCCATTTATTTAATTACAGCTCTAAAACAAAAAAAAAACAAACAAGTCAGTTTTCTTGTGAGAATTTTTATGCAGACATGCTTGTTGACTAACTAACCTTACAAACTCAGGGTTATCAAAAGTTTCATCAACAGTTTTATGCAGATTCACTATTGCATGCAAATATTATGAAATCAGATTGCCAAAACGTGCAACTTAAGCTATTATTTTTTAAAAGACACACATTATCGGTGATATATAATAAGCCACATTCCTCATCTGTTAGTTTGAAGAGTCTTTGTCTTCTGACTGTGAGTGACAGACTTTTCTGATCTTCTCCTGCTTTTGAGCTCCTGCAAAATAACAAAACTACACAGCGAGAGACGACAGTATACTCAGGTGAGTCTGGGGTTACATGAACATAATTTATTTATTTAGCTAAATAAGTAAGCTTTCCATTGTTATGATGGGATTGTATTTGGCTGCAATACAACTATTTAATTATCTGTAAGCTGTAGGTTCAAAAAAATCGGAATATTAAGAAAATCACCTTTAAAGTTGTCCAAATGAAGCTCTTAGCAATGCATATTACTAATCAAAATGAAGTTTTGATATAATTACAAAATGTCTTTATGGAACATGATCTGCTTAATATTCTAATCATTTTGGCATAAAATAAACAATTAAACATTTGACTGATTATAAATATACTGTATATTGTTGACTATTCCTACAAATATACCCGCGCAGCTTAAAACTGGATTTGTGGTACAGGTTGGAACATTACAGAAAGTTTCTTACCTAGGATCTCAACTAATGATATGTTTAAATTTTTTTTTTTTTTTTTTTTGCTAATGTGTATTGCAAAGCAAATGTTAACTTGATTTGGGTTTTTTGTTTTATTTTACAAAATTGTATTTTATCTTTAGTTCTAAAAACCTCAAGTCTTAATTTGTGTAATACATTTCAACAATCTACTCTCGGGCCTGTTAATAAGCAACTAACACTGCGCTAGCTGCTAATTAGTTAGCCTAAACAAAATGGATAGTCAAAACCAGCATATAAAAAGAACACATAAGGTATTACATTTACATTTAGTCATTAGTCAATTGCAGTATATCTGGTAATTCTCTGTGCCGCTTTGTAGGTGTCTGTAATGCTAGTTTCAGTTCCTGTGCTAGCTGTAATATCATGTTGTGCGGCAGTCTATGATTACTTATAAGTGTTTTGTTATGTTAATGTAACATCTTCAGCACTCCAAAAGCCTTTCTGACATTAAACATCTTCATTTTCAAGTATTAATAAATGTAATGCTATTGTTTAACAACTCGATTATAAGCTTTTTTTTGTTCTCCTGTTTTTCCTGTTAGCTTTCGAATCATTCTAGAAAATAAAGTAGCACAGTGAGCTATACTTAAGACAGTTTTTAGGATTTTATTTTGTTGAGTTAGTATGTTTATTCAATTCATTTAACCTTTATTTGTAAAGCGCTTTTACAATGTAGATTGTGTCAAAGCAGCTTCACATAAAAGATCATTGTAAATTGAAACAGTGAAGTTCAGTTTTAAAGTTTAAGTTCAGTTCAGTTTAGCTCAGTTCAGTGTGGCTTAATCACTACTGAGAGTCCAAACACTGAAGAGCAAATCCATCGATGCGCAGCTCTACAGATCCCGAACCATGCAATCTAGTGGCAACGAAAAAACTTCACTAATTGGCGAAAGTGAAATGTATCTGTTATACCATCTGTTATACTATCGGTAGTTAAGACAATATGACACATTTAATAAATGCTGTTCTGTAATAACCAAAGTTTGTCCTAAAAGTGACCTTAGACCTGCCAAAAATTAATTGTATGGGCAGTGTTGTAGCACTAACTGTGAAGTATGAAGCTTAGTATAGTATTATGTGATTGGTTTTGTGGTACAGGGTTACACATTTGGTCCCAACAGACCTATGACCATGTTTACCAAAGAGATCAGATTTGAAAGTTGGGATCTTTCTGTAATACACCTCCAGGGCCACATTTAGCTGTATTATTCTGTTTGATGCTGTTGGGTTTCTCTTTCCTCATCATCTCTGTATTTTCTAGATCATCTGAGGGATTGAATCATGATGCTGCTGATCGTTAAAGCTCTTCTCATTTTAGCAGCTCTAGAACAGGTGAGCATGTTTGAATATTTCAATCATTGATTGTCAAATAATTTATATTACAGACATTGAAAATCAGGGAATGTAACAGTATATATAAGGAATTTAAGGATGGAATTATGTATTTTTCCTTGATGATCCAAGTGTTTCCTTAACTGTTGCCACCAAGTTCTCAAGAACCCTTTCCCCTTAACAAATACAAAGACCAAACAGCTCTCTTAAATGCGCGAATGACACTCAAAATGCAAGCATTCGCACTTAAATAATTTTTTTTTCAGAAATGTATTAATTTTAAGATAAAAAAATTCAATGACAAACTAATTTACACAGCATCTGCGCAGGAGTGCATCCATATAAAATTGCAGTTTCAGTCCAGCTTAAAAAGGCTCTACATGACCTCAGACGAGTTTTATAGGTCCTCCATATATATAATGTCGAGTTTGACTTGATGTGGGAACATTTCAACTCGCTTAATGGAAAGAAAACTGCACAGATAATGTTTATTGCAGTTATTGCAAGACAAGCATTTGTGGTTCGGGATATCAGGATATGATGAATAGATGTTTCTACTTCAAAATATTGAGCTAATGAAATAAGGTAGTTTACTATAAAATTAAGAAATGTCTTTTAGGATGTGTATTTTTACCAGTAAAACACTGGCAACCGCAGCTGCCTTTTTTTTGTTTTTGTTTTTTACTGTAAATTAATCATGCTTTTTCATTATTTTTTGCTTATTGCTATAATGTCACATGATGCATATATAAAGCAGGTCATATGTGCCTGATCTCAGGAGTATTTTACGCAAGTATTTTACATTTTGCCAGTTAAGTGGCTTATTTGTACGAGTACAGTCGTACAAGTTATGTACAATTATGATTGCTGTTTCTGCAGGATCACAGAGCCGCCGCCGCCGCCGCCGCAGCTGCTGGGAAGATATTTCCACTGGGGATGGAACACAAATCCGTCGACGATCAATATAATGGCTGCAAAGGACAAATGGCAAATCTGGTTAAGACCAAATATCTGCCAAATGAATTGAAAAGCAATTTTAAATTTAAGCAATACTGGCAAAACAGCGCAAAGGTTGTGAAGTATGGTAAAGACCACTTAACTAGAGACCATTTAATCGCCATTCACGTGTACACTGGCAAATATGTGTATCGTCAGTTTAACGAAGATACGCGTTACGGCAAAAACCAATACAAGCACAAGAAATACAAGTGGCATGCGCTGCACTTCCTGTTGACCGAAGCGTTGCAGATTCTGAAGAAGTCACACAATAAATGCTTTCAAACCTACCGCGGTACTACGGCTAATTTTAATAAGCATGTTCTGAATAAAGAGATCCGCTTTGGTCAGTTTACGTCCTCCTCTCTTGATCCGAAAATAACACAAGGCTTTGGATCGAAGTCCTGTTTTGAAATTATAACTTGTGAAAGCGCCGAGCTGATGAAATATTCTCAGTATCCTTACATTAAAGAGGTGCTGATTCCTCCATATGAGAAGTTTCGGGTCACCGCTGTCCGGACCAAACAGAATTATAAAAATCTGTGGTGCGACACGGTGTACACTTTGAAGAGCGCTGGAAGAACAAGTTATCTGAACTGTGAACTGATCAAGAAACATTAAAATAATATCCAAGAGGTAATCTTGTACAGTTGAAGACAGAATTATTAGCCCTCGTTGTCAGATTGTCATTCTTTCACCATTCTATTTACCAAGTGATGCCCTATTTAAATAGTATTTTTTTGATTGTACAATAGTTTGATTTGTAGACAAACACTTGCCTACTTTGCCACTGTAAAAAATATCCATACATTTAGTCATTCAAGTTTTTATTTAGTATTTTTCTCCTTTTATTTATGCTTCTAAATTGCATTATGGGATCTTAATTTTTCTTCCAACAACTCTGAACCTTGAAAAGTTAAAAGGGACTTTTATGAACAGTATTAATGGTTTAAAGTGACCTATTGTCTGGGTTGGTGTTGTATATTTTAATACAAACACCTTATAATATACAGCCAGTTCATTTTTTGTTATTTTGCTGACTTACACTCCATTTTATTAGGTACACATTACTAGTACCGGGTTTGACCCCTTTTTGCCTTCAGAACTGCCTTAATAATTTATGGCATGGACTCAACAAGCTACTGGAAATAGTCCTTAGAGATTTTGGCCCATATTGACATGATAGCATCACACAGTTGCTGCAGATTTGAATGGTGCACTGTGGTCATAAAGGGATGAACATGGTCAGCAACAACACTGAGGAAGGCTGTGGCATTGACACAATGCTTAATTGGTACTAATGGGCCCAAAGTGTGCCAAGAAACTATACTCACACCATTACACCACCAGCACCAGTCTGAACTGTTTATACAAGGCAGGATGGATCAATGCTTTCATGCTTATGATGCCAAATTCTGACCCTAGCAACCGAATGTAGCAACAGAAATCGAGACTCATCAGACCAGGCAACATTTTTTCCAATCATCTATTATCCAATATTGGTGAGCCTGTGTGAATTTTAGCCTCAGTTTCCTGTTCTTAGCGGACAGGAGTGGCACCCAGTGGGTTTTCTGCTGCTATAGCCCATCTGCCTCAAGATTGGACGTGTTTTGTGTTCAGAGATGCTCTTCTGCAGACCTCCGTTGCAACAATTGGTTATTTGAGTTACTGTGACCTTCCTATCAGCTCTATATTTTCTCTTTTTCAGAGCATTCTCTGTAAACCCTAGAGATGGTTGTGCGTGAAAAATTGCAGTAGATCAGCAGTTTCTGAAATACTCAGACCAACCCATCTGGCACCAACAACCATGCCATGTTCAAAGTCACTTAAATCACCTTTCTTCCCCATTCTGATGCTCAGTTTGAACTGCAGCGGTTCGTCTTGACCATGCCTACATGCCTAAATGAATTGATTTGCTGCCATGTGATTAGCTGATTAGAAAATTGTGCTTATAAGCAGTTGGACAGATGTACCTAATAAAGTGGCCAGTGAGTCTAAAAATAAGTCACTTTGTTGAAATTGGATTTCAACATCAAAAGTCAACAGAGCATTAATCAAGATTCCATAATGCAAATCACAACCTACAGAAACACAAAATATAGAAACTGTTCATTAACAGATATTTTTTTTTGTAGTTAACCTAATTAACCCAATCAAACTTTAAGCTGAATACTAATATCTTACAAAAATGACTAGTAAAATATTATGTACTCTTGTGGTGGCAAAGACAAAGGAAATGAGTATATATATAAAAATCACAAATAATTTTGCCTTTAACTGTACATGCAGTTCCTCGTGAATCACTATAAACATTTTCTTCCTGATTTCAATAATTCTTTGTCAGAAAAGTGTTTTGTTCATATTTCAAGCTCATATCAAGTTCATATTTTAAAATAAAGTTTTGTTTTGAGACTTCTTCTGCAATTCATGTCTTTTATATTACAGTGTATCTGCAATCTATTTTTCATACATAAATATTTACAAACTTAGATATTTAGATCTTTTTACATACTTACATTTTTCATAGAAGATTATGGATTTACTGTTCTGTTTAATGTGACTTTGCAATACATTCAGAATAAATATATTTATTTGCTGCTTGTCCAGTTTACTTAATTTAACCCACATCTGTAAAATACTAGTTCTCTTAATCTTTTTACGTGTAATTGACATCTGAAAATGCAGGCTTTTAAAGTATTTACCAGATTGTAAAGTTGCCATTCCTTTTCACAACACCTAAAAGATATTTAGGGACTGCAGACACCAAGTGATGAAGTGTTTGGGTGATATTTTGTCTCATTTTTCCTGCAAACAAGTCTAAAACGAGCAACATTACTGGATCGTTGTCATATTTTGCACTTAAAATGCATCACACATTCTCGATTGGAGACAAGTCCGGACTGCAGGCAGGACAGTCCAGTACCTGTATCCTCCTCTAATGCAGCCAGGACTTCGTCAGAAAGATTCATGCATTGTTTTTTTTTTGGGTTTTTTTTATACCAATTTAGGAAACATGTTTCAATTAACATTTAAAGCCAGTCCGTCACTTGTGAAAGGCACCCAAACCAATATATTACTTACACACCTTCTGTACTAGACTTCTATGAGCCCTAAAAACTCTGCTGACTCGGTCGATAATTTAATAACAACTCCAGTTTATTCTTTACCTAACCTTACTGCTAAACCAAACCATCAATGAGGGATGAGCATATTGTACTAGATTCAATTAAATTGTAAAACGTACAAATTGTAATTGTACAAAATTCATACAAATTAAAACACTGAAAAAGTAAAAAAAAAAAAACACTGTGAGAGTGTTGAAGATTCCATGCCATGCAAAGCTCAGTGTAATGAAAAACCCTTTAAAAACCTAAATAGAAATGTTTTAATAAAATATATTGATCTGTGAACTTATTTTTGTCAGACAAAGGAGTCATTTAAAGCAGGGGTTCCCAAACTTTTCAGCCCACGACCCCAAAAAATAACAACGTCAGTGACTCGCGACCCTCATTTTTCAAGGTGGTCATACTGTAAATTGACAAACGTCGCACACACAACTATATGTAACCGGTTCTGCGTTGTGTTTTCTTTGTTTTATTATGGAATAACCAGTCGAAGATCTGCAGTTGTGACGGCTCTTTACTCACTGGGAATAAATCAAAAAGCACAGCTTTTACAGTGTGTCTTCGCCCTTTACAGCTTTTCTCTCCCATGCATAGTCAGTGCAGAAAGGGGAAGAGATGGAGAGAAAGATAGAATAAAACTCCAAACAATATTAACAAAGTGACAAAACATACCTGGGAATAAATCAAAAAGCACAGCTTTTACAGTGTGTCTTCGCCCTTTACAGCTTTTCTGTTAAAGGTAAAGTGCAATGCATTTAGCATTCACATGCTTCAGTTAGGCTAAAGTCAATCAAAACTTCAATTTAAGTGATGACACAAAAATAATGAAATATATGTGAAAAATAAAGGTATAAATATTATTTAAACATGAAAACTAGCTTTAAAAGTTATTTATAAAGTAAAGATGATTAAAGATTAATTGGAGCTTAGCAGACACCCACCTCTCCCATGCATAGTCAGTGCAGAAAGGGAAGAGGCGGGGCGCAAAACAGGAAATTAAACAGCGTGAGCTCCCTTAGAAATTTAAAGGAGAAGACACACACTAACAAACACCTCAGGTATACTTACTAACACATTAGATAAAACACATATTTTGTGTAATTCTATACTTAAAGCGAAGAATACTTTTCATACCTGTTACACATAGACATACATAAACATGAGCATATTGACAACAAACATGCAACAGTCCATCCAACCTATAATGGTTTACGTAGTCATTTATTAATTTAATTACATTTGAATATAAAAATTAAAGGCTGATGGCTGAGTTTTATTTGTATGCTGTTTTAGTTGTTTCTTTAACAACTATTAACTATCTTCTGTGGGTTATGAATAAAATATGGTAATTCAAATGGTTTAATAAGATGTATTTGAGTTGTGGAAATCACCAAGCGACCCCTTGTCATTGTCCCACGACCCCCCGGGCCACTTTGAGAACCACTGATTTAAAGGAACCGAATTACTGGTTCAAAAAAACAGAGCAAGTTTGTCAACATACAAAAATTTACAGCATGTAAAAATGTCTTCATGCACGTTCTCATGCTGGTTTTTGTGTGTATTGCCTAGAGTGGGCAATTAAAGATCAAATCCAAGTGCAAAGTTTGTTTTGCAAGAACAAATAAGAGATAACAGCTATTTTGGCTGATTAGGCAAATGACTTTAATTTCAACATTGTTATCTTCTGATAACAGATGACAAGGAAAAAAAGTATATTTTGTTATCTGAAGATTACAACATACATTTCAAATTGTTTTTTTTTTTATGACTTGCAAATTTCAGGTATGCATCTTCTTTCCCCACAGTGTCAAACCAGAGACCTTTCTGATGTAGCATGATCAAAAAGCAGAACAAGTCAGCTTGACTTTTTTGTGTGTGTGTCTATTCTTTTTAGTGTGTTTTAAACATCCACATTGTTACGAAAAAAATAAAAATAAAAAATCCTTAATCAAAATGAGGTTTAACCAAAAAGTAACAAGATAACAAGGATTAAAAATATATAATCCCTGTTGCCCCCGCGCTCCCCCCTCCCAAAAAAATAAAAATAATAATAATAATAAATAAATAAATACACACACACACACACACACACACACACACACACACACACACACAACCACACACAACCACACACACACACACACAACCACTCAGAATTAACAAGAAAATGTGATTTACAGAAATAAAGGAGCAAAAATAACATCGGGAGGGGTTCAGCCAAATTAAATACAATAAACCAAGCTAACTAAATTAGAACTTCCCTAGAAAGTAGATGATAAAATACAGAAAACTTACCTCCCTACTAACAAACACAGGAGAAAACAAAAACAAATGAAGGCACCAAATTCTGACTTCAACTGTAGCTGATCTCCGGGTCACTTTTAGCTTAGCTTAGCATAGATCCCTAAATCAGATTAGACCATTAGCATCTCACTCAAAATGTTTTAAAAAAGAGTTTAGATAATTTTATTTTTAGTTTCTATTTAATGCTTGATTTTGCTGTAGTGAGGCTATTGAATTAAGCTATTGACTCTTCTTCATGTGCTATTTTGTAACATATTGACACCCGCTGCAGCCATGATTATTATGCCAGAATGAGTGAAAAGGTCTCAGCCATATCGGCCTAGAAAAAAGACAACTTTTCATTTTCCGTCAGTCTTAGTACATGATTTAACTACAGATGAGTTAAGCTTCCCATGGAAAAAAAAAATTTCAAAACTCATTTTTTCGAAAGCAAGATGCTAATGGTCTAACCTGATTCAATGATTTATGCTAAGCTAAGCTTAAAGTGCTCCTGCCAAACCCAAAGATTGGCTGAATGGATTAAAAAAATTGTGAAACTTGACTATTTAACTCTAGGGAGGTGTAAAATGAGTCTATTTCCACAAAAGTACAGTGTTTTTTTTTAAGGTTAAATCTGTGAATATCAAGTTTAGGTGGTTGTTTTAAACAG